GCTGAAAGTACCATGGACTGTTAAAAGAACTAACAGATCTGTCCTGGAGAAAGTGCACCCGAAATGCTCCTTGGAAGTGAGAATGGCCAGATTTCATCTCACCTATTTTGGTCATGTTGTCAGAAGGGACCATTCCTTGGAGAAGGATGTCATGCTTGGTTGGGTGGAGGGTCAACGAGATGGATTGACACGGTGGCTGTGATGATGGGCTTAAGTATAGCAGGGATCATGGAGCTGGTGCAAGATCGGGCAGTGTTTCGTTCTTTTGTGCATGGGGTCGCTATGGGTTGGAAACGACTCGACGGCTCCTAACAACAACAACAACATAATGATATCATTTGCTCTTAGGTAATGATGGACTTTGGCAGTTCGGCAGTCATCCTCCATTTTTGCATAATGCTGATTTTTGTATATCAACCTGGTCTTTGGAATCTAACAATAAGTTAGTGGTGGGTATAAAGAGAAGAGGAAGGAGAACAGTAGAGGATCACCCATTTGCTAATCTTAACATGATCGATTCAACTTTCCCTCCCTCTTTCTCTGAGATCAAGTGATATGCAGTCAGGAGATGGTCCAGTCTTCTACTCACCTGCAACTTGACTTCTTAAACTTTAAGTTAAGTAAGCTTGGTCTTAAATACCAAAGAAAAGATTAGTAACTTTGGGTGAAAAAAAACCATTAGCAGTATTTAGTCAGCAATTTTTGGAGTTAATATTTGTTTTTCTAGGTAAGAAAAAGTATAAAATCAAAGTAAGATGACTGTTATTAATTTTTTCTCTTTGGCAGGATGAAAAGAGGGGAAAAAGAGTAACTTTTTGGTAAAGTACCTAAGGCATTTGACTGCCAAGCAGAAACTCACCAGCCACTCCCCAGAAGGAAGATGGAGCAATCTCCATCTGTAAAGATTTACTGCCTTAGAAACTCAATGGGGGTCACTATGAGTAGGAATTGACTCAATGACAATGGGTTTGTTGTTGTTGTTGTTTTCAGTGGAGACACCTCACTAGGTGAGGTGATTACTCAATCTCAGCTAGGTGATGAAGGTTAACTTCAACATAAGTAGGCTAGAAGTCAATCAGCGATACATAATCATAAAAGAAAGCAGAAAAAAAAATAATGAATAAAACCTTACACACTGATAAACAAGGCTTTTATAGTTAAATATTCAAATGTTCTCTCCTCCTAAGTCTAAACAGCAGAGAATTTCCTTTAGGCCACTATGTTCTTGTCATTTGCTCTCAGGTTCATTCCAACTCAAGATGACCCCCATGTGTGAAAAGTAGAACTGCTCTACATGGTTTTTGAGACTGATTTTGCTTCTGAAATCACAGTCTCAAAAACCAAGAAGCAGATCACCAGGCCTGTCTTCTAAGTCACCATTGAGTTGGTTTGAACAAACAACCTTACAAATACTAGTAGAACACTTAGTAGTTTGCAACACCCAGAAACTGTGATTGTTGCTATGTGCCATCGAGTCAGACCCAACTCACAGCGACCCCTCCTTGGGTTTCTGAGGCAGTATCACTATCACTCCCAGGAGTGGCTGGTGGGTTTGAACCTCCAGCCTTCTGTGAAGCTATATTCAAATGTAGTTAATATTGTCTGAGTCTCTTATGCTGCATTTTTTTAAAATCAAAATTAAATAAAATTTACTTCAGGCACACCTTTGTTGTTGATTGAATTTAATGACTTAAGAGTATTAGCAAGTTAGGACACCTGTACTGGGATTTGTTGCAGAAGGAATTCCAAGTTAATATTTCTAAATTCTTCTACATAAACAGCACAGAATGTCAACAGTTGTTATAGATTCTTGCAGAACTCTCCACATTTATACATAATTCATTTGAATTAAAGCAAGTATCACTTTAAAAGAGTTAGTGGGTGAAAACAGTGGGTTCTTACTTGTTTTTGTATGCATATTTTATAGGGAGAAATACTTGTCAAGGAAATTATTAAGAATTTATAAGATGGCAAGCACTCTGCTAGGTTGTGAGGTTGTGGCAGTGAACTATATGTACAGGAGGCTACCTTCCTGGATATTACAGTCTAGTGCATATTTGTGCAATAAATAGGCAATTACAAACTAGAATAACAAATGACAGATATTGGACTGAAATTATCACTGTTCATGGATTGGTCTGTAACTCAGATTTTATACTTCTAATTACTTCTGACTTAAGAGTTAAAGAAAATAAGCCATATAAAGAAAGCATATGGAGACATAAGCCTGAAAAGTAATTATTTCATGCTAGAAGCTCTGGTGGCACAGTGCCTAAGGAATTTGACTGCTAACCAGAAGGCTGGCAGTTCAAATCCACTAGCTATTCCTCAGAAGGAAGACTGGGCAATCTACTTTCATAGAGATACCGCCTTGGAAATCCAAGTAGGGTTGCTATGAGTTGGATTCATCTTGACTTGATGGCAGTAAGTTTGGTTTGGAGTTAAAAATCCACAAGCTAGAGATTACAACCAACATATCACTATAATTTATGTTATTTACTGACTTAATGGGAGAACCAAACCAAAAACCAACCCCAGTACCATCAAGTTGATTCTGACTCATAGTGACCCTATATTACAGAGTAGAACTGTCTCATTGGGTTCCCAAGGCTGTAAACCCTTATGGAAGAAGACTGCCTCATTTTTCTCCCACGGAGCGGCTAGTAGATTTGAACCATTGACATTTCAGTTTGCAGCCAAATGCTTTAACCACTATACAACTAGGGCTCCTTGAATGAGAGAAAGAAGGCTGACAACCAGTGTTGGTAGATGTTATTTTCAAATTCATTGAATTTTTATCAACTGTATGGGAGATAAAGGAAGCTGATAGTAGTAGTGGGCCCTTGTATCCCTGTCATCCTTAGTGTTTCTTCTAATGAGTGCCTTAGTGGTCCACATGAGAGAAAACCACAGATAGAAAAATGACATCAAAAAAGGCTACTGAAGCCATTGGGGTAAGAAATGTAGTCACTAAATCCCATTGAATGACCAAATCATTGTTACATGAACTAATGTGAAACACATAAATTCTTACAAAGTAATAGTCAAAGACTTAGATCTAATAAAACCATTCTCATATTATTTCTCATCACAACAATATTATTTTCTCTAGAATTTTCTTCAGGGCAATGTTGACATCCTTATTTCTCAGGCAGTAGATCAAGGGGTTCAGCATAGGCACCACAATGGTGTAAAACACAGAGGACACTTTCCCTTGGTCCATGGAGCTGGCTGATGATGGCTGCAGGTACATGAATGCTGCAGAACCATAGAAGATTGTAACAGCTGATACATGGGAGCTGCAAGTACTGAAGGCTTTGGATCTGCCCCCAGTGGAGCAAATGCGGAGGATGCTTTTTAAGATGAAGACATAAGAGCCAAAGATGGTCAGACTAGGAACAAGAATGTTAAATGCACTAAAGATTAGAATCAGTAATTCATTGACATAGGTACTAGAGCATGAGAGGCTTAAGAGGGAAATAAGATCACAGAAATAATGGTTGATCACATCAAATTTGCAGAAATGAACTTTAAATATGCAGCCCATATGAGCTGATGCACAAACCAGGCCTATAATATATACACTGCAAATCAGATAGAAACAGGCCTGAGGGGACATAATGACCTTATAAAGCAAGGGGCTACAGATGGCAACATAGCGGTCATATGCCATTGCAGCCAGCATGTGACACTCTGCAATAGCAAAAATGAGGAAGAAATACAGCTGAATCATGCATTCAGGGTAGGAGATGGTGTTCTTCTCTGTCACAAAGTTCACCAGCATTTTGGGGGTGATGACAGTGGAATGGCAGAGATCAATGAAAGACAAACTGCTAAGGAAATAGTACATGGGGGTATGCAGGTGAGAACTGATCCCAATCAGTGTGATCATGCCCAGGTTCCCCATCACTGTGACCACATAAATTCCTAGAAAGAAGAACAAAAGAGGCATTTGGAGTTCTGGTTTGTCTGTAAGTCCAGCGAGGATGAATTCCATTACTGTGGAATGATTTCCTGCAGCCATTTTGTTCTGGGTAATTTCTGGAAGGAAGAGAGAAAGAAATGGTTTTTAGAAGAACTTCATTGTTAGTCCCCATTTAGAATGTTCCATATAGATGATTCATACTTTAGGTTCCCTTTGTCTCTATTGTTGTTGTGGTTAGGTACCTTGGAGACTTTTAGACTCATAGCAACCCCGTGTGGCAGAGTAGCACTGCCCCATAAGGTGTTCTAAGAGGAGTAGATCACCAGATCTTTTCTACCATGGAGAGCCTGGATGGATTCAAACTGCCAGTCTTTCAGATAAGAGCCAAGTACTTAACCATTGTGCCTAGAGGGTGTCTTTGTCTCTGTTATTGTTATGTCCATTATTTTTTAAAATAAGTCTTTGTAAATAAAAAATTAAGACAAATTTAACTTAAGCAAATGTACTCAGAATATACTCATAATTAATGGATTTTATTAGAGATGATCTCTATTGCCATGCCTTTGTTATTTGTTGTTTGTTGTTGTTTTCATTCTTTTTTTTGATAATTGGGAAATCTGGATTTCTACATAAAATATTGAGATTGTTAAGATACTATTATTATAGTAAAAGAACACTGACAACATTATTGTACAGGTCTATCAGCTGGATTGGTGCACAGTTGGCTGATTTGTGGCCCCTGTACCAAATGCTCTGCCTTTACTTGAGGAGGCGGGTGTAAGTAGTGGTTAAGCAGACAAGCCTTAAAGTCTCATTGCCTATATTTGTAATCTGACCTGATCATTTACTACCTGATAACCTTGGACAAGTAAATAACCTCTTTTTGTCTTCCATATCAATAATTAAGTTATGGAATAGTCACCTATTTCATAGTAAAATTGACACAGACTTATCACTCAGCAAGTGAGCATTACCATTCCTGTGTTTTGCTATTAACTAAATCTAAATATTTCTACTTCACTTCCAAACCAAAATAAACTTGAAATGAACCATATATTTGAGCATAAAGTCTAAATTATAACACTTTTTAAAGAATACTTTTTTAAAAACATTTTCAAGATCTTGTAGTATTCTAATATATCTTCAAAAGAACATACACACACATAATAAACAAAACAAAACAGACCTGGAGTAAAATAAATAAAAACCTAACCATAAAAAGGATTAAATTGTACTTCATCAAAGTTAAAAACTGTTTCTCAAAAGACATTATCATTAAGAAAACAGAAAAGAAAGGCAAAGACAGTACATATGTCTATCATTTTCTTTTATCCAAAATATATAATTATTTACAATTAAGAACATGAAGACAACCAAATAGAACTGATATGAACAATTGGAAGTATAGTAATATTCAATAAGCCTATTAAAATATACTCAATGCCATTAGTCATCAAGGAAATTAATATTAAAACCATAATGGGACATTACTACACACCCACATTGGAATGCATAAAAAGAAAAATCTGACAATGAAGTGTTCACGAGGATGTGGAGCAAATGGACTTGTTATATGTGGCTGGTAGTTGGTATAACAGTTAAACTGCTTTGCAAAATGGTTTAGCAACTTCTTAAACATTTATATGTCCACTTATAATACAAACCAACAGTTCTGCTCCTTATAATTCACCCACGAGAAATATAAACATATATCCATAAATGACTTGTGCAAAAATGTGCATAACAACTTTATTCATAACAGCCCCAAACAGGAAATAACCAAAATGTTTATCAACATATTAACAGAAAAATAAATTGCAGTATCTTCATACAATGGAATAGTACTAAATAATTAAAATAATAACTCACACAAATATGCAACAATACAATTTAAAAGAATTTGTTGAACAGAAGAAGTCAGACTTAAAAGAAGTACAAATTCAATGATTGGCTATAGTGAGATGCATGGAATTTTCTGAGAAACGTTATAAGAGTGCTTATTGGAATGACAAAAATATTTAATATATTGATTAAGATAGTGAATACACAAGTGTGCATATTTACCAAAATTTATTTAAGTAAACTGTACACCTAAAATGAGTGCATTTATTTTATTGTATGTAAATTATATCTAAATAAATAAAATTACTTAAAGAAAAATCAGCAAAGAAATCTGAAAACAAGATTACAAATTGTCTCTCTCCATCTCACACAGTCTTCTCAAGGGCACATGAAACCTCTCCAAAATTATTAATTATAAGCTTGATTATAAAGCAAGTTACAATATTTTTTCAGATGTTTTCACTGGTCTTCACATTTATGAAAAATGTAACAGGAATCTTATAGGATATTTCTGAAATACAAAGCATGACATCAACCAATAGTAATTAAAAAAAAAATGTCTTAAAAAACTAGGAATAGATGGAAATCTCTTTAAGCTTATTCAAAAACACATACACCAAACACAAAGCTTCATGTTGAAACGGAATGGACCAAAGATGCCCACTATTACTTCTCCTATGCATAATTGTACTGAAGTTAGCAAACCAAAAACAACAAATTCACTGCACTCGAGTCAGATCCAACTCACAGTGACCCCTCCTTGGGCCTAGGCAGTATCATTATGGAAGTAGAGTGCTCATTCTTCCTTCCAAGGAGTGGCTGGTGGGTTTGAACTGCCAGCCTTCTGCCTAGCAGTCAAATATCTTAGGTACTATGCCACCAAGCTCCCTGAAGTTAGCAGCAAGTTCAATAAGGCAAGAAAAATAAATCAAAATATAAGAATCAGAAAGGAAGATAGAAAATTATTTACAGATAACATGATTGAGTAGGCAGAAAGTTATAATAACGTAGAGAAAAGGTCTTGAATTTTAATAATTTAATTCAATAAGATTTCTAGATGCAAGGTAAACATTTAAAACAATCAATTTTACAAAATTTTGTTTCATTTTACAATATTAAAACATTGTTTTTGTTAGGTGCCATCAAGTCAATCTTGACTCAGTGATCCTATATAAAACAGAACTGAACACCACTAGGTCCCACACCATTCTCACAATTGTTACCATACTTGAACCTATCATTGCAGCCACTGTGTCAATCCATTTCCTTGAGGGTCTTCCCTTTTTTTGATAACACTCTATTTTACCCACCCTGATACCCTGCTGTGTGGACTAGTCCTTTCTGACAACATGATCAAGGTATGAAAGATGAAGTATGCCTCTTCTCACTTCTAAGGAGTATTCCAGCTCTACTTCCTTCTAGGCAGGTTTGTTTCTTCTTCTAGCAGTCCATGGTACATTCTATTTTCTTCATCAATACCACAATTCAAATGCATCAATTCTTCTTCAGCCTTCCTTATTTATTGTCTAGGTCTCACATGTATATGATGCTACTCTTGAGATGTGTTGGCAAAGAATACTGAAAGTACCAAGGACTACTGAAAGAACTTACAAATCTTTCCTGGAAGAAGTGCAGCTGGAATGTTCCTCGGAAGCAAGAACGGACAGACTTTGTCTGACCTACTTTTGTCACATTATTAGAATGGGCCATTCCCTGGAGAAGGATATCATGCTTGGTAAAGTGGAGGGTCAACAAAAAAGGGGAAGGCCCTCAATGAGATGGATTGACACCGTGGCTGCAACAATGGCCTCAGGTATAGCAGGGATTGTGAGGCTGGGGCACGACCAGACAGTGTTTTGTTCTGTTGTACACAGAGTCGTTATGAGTTGGAGCTGACTTAACAGCACCCAACAACAATAGCAACAAAATACCATGGCTTGGATCAGGCACACCTTAGTGTTGAAGGGATATCTTTGTTCTTAAACACTTCTAAGAGGTCTTTTGTGGAAGCTTTGCCCAATGCAATATGCCCTTTGATTTTCTGACTGCTTCTTCCATAGACATTCACTGTGGCTTCAGGTAAAATGAAGTCTGACAGCTTCAGTTTTTTCTCCCTTTATCATGACTTTGCTTATCAGTCCAGTTGTGAGGAATTTTGTTTTCTTTATGTTGAGGTGTGATCCATACTGAAGGACTTTGATCTTCGTCAGTGTTTCAAGTCTTCTTCATTTTCAGCAAGCAATGTTGTGTCATCTGCATATCGCAAGTCATTGAGTCTTCCACCAATCCTGATGTCATGTGTTTTTCTTTTTTTTTTTTTTTTTTTTTTTTGTGTAGTCCAGCTTCTTAGATTATTTGCTCAGCATATAGATTGAATAAGTATGGTGAATGGATACAACCCTGATGAACACTTTTCCTGATTTTAAACCAAGAAATATTCTCTTATTGTGTTTAAATGACTGTTTCTCAATCCATGTACAAGATGAGCATAATTAAGTGTTTTGGAATTCCCACTCTTCACAATGTTATCCGTAATTTGTTATGATCCACCCAGTCAAATGTCTTTACATAGTCAATAAACAGCAAGTATACATCTTTCTGGCATTCTTTATTTTCAACAATTGAAAACTGTTGATGTCACCTGACATCAACAGTGATATCCTTTGTTCCATATCCTCTTCAAATCCAACTTGAATTCCTGGCTATTCCCTGTTGATGCACTGCTACAACTGTTTTTGAATTACCTTCAGCAAAAATGTACTTGCATGTGATATTAGCAATATTGTTCAATAATCTATGCATTCTGTTTGTCACCTTTCTTTGAAATGACACAACTATGGATCTCTTCCAATTGGTTGACTAGGTAGCTTCTTCCAAATTCTTTGGCATAAACGAGTGAGTGCCTTCAACACTGCATCCATCTGTTGAAACATCTCAGTGGGTATTCCATCAATTTCTAGAGCCTTGTTTTAAACCAACTCCTTCAGTGAAGCTTGGACTTCTTCCTTCAGTAACATTGGTTCCTTGTCATATGCTGCCTCCTGAAATTGTTGAACATCTGCCAATTCTTTTTGGTACAGTAATTCTGTGTATTCCTTCCATCTTCTTTTGATGTTTCCTGAATTGTGCAATATTTTTCAAATGGACCATAAAAGAATATTTTGTCTATCCTTGCATAGTCATACATGATGTATACATTTCAATTATGTCCAATTTATTGTGTTCAGATCGGCTATATGCCTAGTGATATTTTGATC